CAAAGTATGGTGGTGAGTTTGTTATGTGGGAGTTGCAAACCCATTTGCACCCCCCATCTGCTTCCACCCCGCCCCTCCCGGAATGAAAGAGGCTCCCCAACTGACCTTCTCTACTCAGAATGAGCGGGAGGGCACAGGGTATTTCCTTGAACATGGGGCCTGTCTAGATGAAGTGGGGATAAGTGACAACCCCAGTGGGAGGAGGTTTTGGGGTTGGGCTGGAGGGAGATGAGTTGATTTAGGCTGGGTTGGGTTGGTTGAATTGAGTGTATGGGAGAAATGAGCGGGTGATTGTGTGTAGATGGATGGATGGAGCGAGAGAGAGAGAGAGAGAGAGTGTGTGTGTGTGTAGAGAGAGATGGTTAAGAACCAGATTGGAGTGGGAGAGAGAAGAGGCTGGAACTGGGAGAGACCAATAAAGTCTCAGAGCAGAAATGCTGCTTCCTCTACCGTCTTTTACTGTGATGTGTCTGTTTTTCACCTTGAATGGAGGAGGGTGGTGGAAGAGGAAACAGAGGAATCCCTCTTTCCTATCCACTTCCCAAGTCCCCCCGCAAAACACCCTTCCCCAGGACACCCCTCCACCCCCACCCACCAGTAGTTTTTCACTTGGGAGATCTGGCCAAGCTGCAATAGAAGGTGATGGGGTGGGGTTAGGAGGCTCTGGAAGGAAGTGAAGGCTTGGCTACCTGCAGCCCTGCCACTAGCCATCAGGCTGCTGAGTGACCCTGCCTGGCCACCCAAGCTGGTTTTAGGGCCGGTTTAGGAGGCAGGGCAAAGTAAATACATTGCACCAGGAATGCAAAGCCTGTTGGGCTGCACGTTTCTCTTCATCTGCTCCCAGATTTACTGCTCCATACCCGCACTCCTGCTCTGCACCTCTATTCTCCCTGTCTCCCAACGCTGCTCCTCCACCTCCCCCATCCGCTGCTCCTTCCCACCCTCCAGATTTGCCCCTAATGGCCCATGCAGAACCCCAATCTACCCCTCCATCCTTCCAGGCCCCCTATCTGTCCCTCCATCCTCCCTATCTGCCCCTGCAACCCCCTAATCTGCGCCTCCATCCATCTCCCTGCAAGTCCCCTTCTGCCCCTCCAGCTGCCTATCTGCCCCTCCCTCCTCTGCCAACCCCTTTCTGTCCCTCTATCTCCCTCTAACCCCTATCTGCCCCTCCCTCCTCTGCAACCCCCCATCTGCCCCTCCATCTCCCTGCAACCCCCATCTGTCCCTCCAGCCCCCATCCACCCCTCCCTCCTCTGCAACCCCCCATCTGCCCCTCCATCTCCCTGCAACCCCCATCTGTCCCTCCAGCCCCCATCCACCCCTCCCTCCTCTGCCAACCCCCATCTGCTCCCTCTATCTCCCTCTAACCCCTATCTGCCCCTCCCTCCTCTGCCAACCCCTTTCTGTCCCTCTATCTCCCTCTAACCCCTATCTGCCCCTCCCTCC